TGAGTAACAGGCTCACAGCCTAATAATTCAATAGTGTATTAGACTTTTTCAACAAATATATTGTAGTAATTTTGACATTTAGGCACTTTAGAAAGTGTTTTAATACCCTACCAGTCACAAGGTTTTGATCAGTAAGATTTTTTATGTTTTTTAAAGAAGTCTCTTCTGTTCACCAAGCATGCATTTATTTGATCCAAAATACAGCAAAAACTATTATATAGGTTTATTAAGGGGGGGGGGGGGCAGTGCAAGAGAAAACCTTTAATTATTTTCCACGGCCCCAGACCTTTTTTATGTGATGGCCATACAAATAATAGGGTTGTCTGTGGTTTCAGATGTTTTGGTGTACAACTGGAACAGGACCCTTAAAAGGACATATTTGTTCCTTTTTTTTTTACCCCTAATAGGCAGGCCTACAAATTAGTACCACACATTTTCACACTCCCTGGGGGCTCTTCCATTTTTCTGTTATGCCTTTTGGTTTACACATGTCTCCGGCTACGTTTCAAAGACTTATGGACCATGTTCTGTTGGGCCTTAATGATTATTTATAGCTGATCCTGAGAACAACATCTCCATCATTCGAAGAAAGTGTTCCATCGCATTCACGAGGCGGGTTTCACCATCAACTGAAAACAGAGAACCTAGTGTATGCAGTCAGTAATGGTGTCATCAGGCCCCAAAGTCAAAAGATCGAGGCTATTCAAAACTGTCCTCAGCCACATACAAAGACCCAGAGCTGATGTCAGGTTAGTACAGAAGATTTGTACCTTCTCTACTGGTGTGGCATCTCTGATCATTTGGATTTGAACGAATTGCCCTAACCAGATCTGCTGGAGAAAAGAAGCCAAGCAAGCTTTTCAGGACATGAAGGCCGCCATGTGACGATTGAGTGATTTATTGCCCTCAATTTGAAGAACCATTTGTATTGCAGCACTTCTGTTCTGTTCACCGAATGAACGAAACCGTTCGAAACCAGAGAATGAAACTATGGAAATGAGTCAGTTAACCAACTGTCAACGCCGTTTTACAACAGGGTCTACAGCTTCTACTAAACCTCGGTTTCGTTCAGCTAGAGCAGCAGAAGATGATGAGAGAGAGAAAAATAGGGTCACTGATGTAGCGACCTTTTAACTTCTGGCAAGGTCACACCTCCACTTAAAACTTTCAGAGGAAGGTTTACAACCCTTTGCTTGAAAGCTGGCTCATTTGCATGATCAGAGTGGGCAGGCGGTTCACGTCCCTTTACACTCGGATTAATATAACAGGAATACAATGCATGCTACGAGGAGGTCATATGTACACCAATGTGTAGGGCATTAAATGAGGATTAACCCCCAGATAATGTAACCTTATTGGTATCCAGCTTCCTTATCAAGCATGATACAACAAGGTTACATTATCTGGGGGTTCAATCATGAAGCATGCATAAAACGGTATACAGTACAAAATACACTATACAAGACCGTAATAATATTTCCATTGATGTATGGTTTGTTAGGATAGGACAATATTTGGCCGAGATACAACTATTTGAAAATCTGGAATCTGAGGGTGCAAAAAAATCTAAATATTGAGAAAATCATCTTTAAAGTTGTTCAAATGAAGTTCTTAGCAATGCATATTACTAATCAAACATTAAGTTTTGATATATTTACGGTAGGAAAGTTACAAATCTTCATGGAACATGATCTTTACTTAATATCCTAATGATTTTTGGCATAAAAGATAAAGAAATATTGTTGGCTATTGCTACAAATATACCCCAGCGACTTAAGACACCTCAAACACCTTGTATTTAAATGAATGCAAAATCATTTATTTTTATTGGGAACAGCCCACAGCTAGAAAGGTTCATTCAGTTTTTCACCCCAAAAAAATGCATAAACAAAATATTGAGCAAATCAGCATAAGATAGAGGTGCTGGGACACAGCTGTCGTAACGTCCGGAGTACCACTGGAGGACACACACACACACACACACACAGTGAACATAATACACAGATAACACACAGCAAACACTACCAATACATGAACATATTTCTATAATCATTTCACGATCAGTTCTCCCTTATGGTCATGTTTGCAAAAAAAATAATTTTGGTTTTATGTTTACTGACAATTTGTGCATGTAAAACATTAAATATTATTGTATTATTTAGATTATATGCCATACATTCTACATTTCATGAGGAATTTTGCTATTTTGAATGCTTCTTAAATAAAAAGTTAACTTAGCCAACTGTAACATACATATCACCATGC